CAGTGAAACAGATCAGAAACACCAGCCACATCGTATACTCTGTGAAGCACTCCTTGTCATGCACAGTGTGGGAGTGGATTTTTTTTTCCTGCCTTGCATTACTATAAATCCTAGATACAGAATATAAAGGAAAATAAAAATTTTTAAAGTGCAGTTTGAAGGCCCATGAAGGTGAATGGCAGTATTTGGTATCTTGACAATTTCTAGCCTATTGGGATTTTATGTGTGACCACTTAACATTCACAGGGGTCGTTTTGTCTGTCTGTTGGCTTAAGCGTCACTGCTAAGGCTTCCTGTGTTGCTGCATCCCACTCACTGTCAGCATCTGAAACAATGTCTGTACTCTCTGGGGGCTTTAATGTACCATTTGTTTTGTTCCTGCCCTTCTTTGCCAGCAACAGCCATCATTCAGGTTGAAGATCAGAATACAGGTGCAATTGAGAACATTATAGTTGAAGTCAAAAAAGAGCCAGATGCCGAGCCTGCGGAGGGGGAAGAAGAAGAGGCTCAGGCAGCCACCACAGACGCCCCCAACGGAGACCTCACGCCTGAGATGATTCTCAGCATGATGGACCGGTGATGACGGGGGCTTTGCTCCTCACCAGGACTATTGGGCTGTGTTTAAACGGCCCAAATCTTATTTTTTTTCTTTCTTTCTTTCTTTGGCTTTGGGAACGGCATAATTTTACACCATTTTACCAAACATGCTGAGAACGAAAACTTCAAGGATGATGTTAGAATAATGTGATTTAACTAGAACTTGTTTGATGTTAGCAAATCATGGAATGTTGTAAGTCTCTGAGGGTTTACTGAAGTGCTGAGGACAGCGTCGATGCCTGACTAGTTTTCTTAGATGGAAACAGAGACATTGAGCCCTCTCTCTTGATTTAGTAAACCACTCCAGAATGGCCACGGGTTTCCCAGAGTTCTATGGTCTTCCCAAGAGAGTTTTTAATTGTAAATGCAGACTTGGGAAAGACTTAGACTTTTAACCTGGTTTTGCTTTTGCTTTTCCTGACTCCCTTTGCTCAGAGTCAGTTGCACACCAGTAGGATGGCATGCTACGATCAGTTTCTGTCCTGAAAGCTTTGCCTCTTTCTTGGCAAAGTTTCTGGTATGGTCAAGCTTGTAAATAACCTTTTTTACATTTTAATCTTTTCCATTAATTAAGAGGTTGAAAAGAAGTGCAGTGTAAGAAAACCCAGCATTTTAATTATTTGCAAATTAAGGTGCCACAGATACAGACTTAGTGGTCTGTAAATGGCGAATCGGATCACAATCATGTAGCAGTGGGCACTGGGCCTGCTGCCTGCCAGTCACGGACACCCGTGTGAAAAATCCTGATTTCCAGCTCATGGAGCCAGCATTTGAACCTTGAACAAATAATTTTCATTTATGATTTCCTCATCAACATTTTCTTTGCTCTGTTTGTATCTGAATGTTACATTTTTTTAAATCTCTGTTAAAGCCAGAAGAGTTGATTATGAATGGGCCACAGCAACCCTGACAAGCTGGGCCAAAAAATTTCAGTAGGTCAGTAATTTAAACTTCAAATCTGGAAAAAAAAAATTATTAATAATGTGAAGCAAACCAACTTAAAAAGTGATTCTTGCACATGAATTGTCACATGTTGATATGTGTTTTTTAAAGAGCCTCAGTCTGACTGATTTCAAACACTTTTTTTCTTCTGTGTATTGCTTTTAAGAGAGCCATCAGTTAGCTACCAGAATCTAGGTTGATGCATTTTTGTACTTAGCTGTACTGTGTGATATTTTTCATTATTTTAGGATGCCAACATGAGACCTGTAATAAACTATGTAATGGGGTTGAAAGCTGGGGAGGAGGATCTACTGCTGTACAGCTAATAAATCATAACGGATTAACAGGCATTCTGAATACTCCGTTTTTGGGGATTCCTATTTGTTGAGGTCCCTTTGGGGCCTGTGCACAGCTGTCTTCTGCAACAGACAGAAGATAGGTGTTCCTGGCAGATGATGGGCTGTGGAATCCAACATACTTCAAGTTGTATCCCACAGTGTGTGGGAGTCGGGAAGTGCGTGGCTATGCAGCCCCCTACTTCAGTTACACCTGAGGAGTGCCTGCCCTTGCTCAACAAGTATTGCTAAGGATGCCGATGGGAAGCTATGCCCTTGAGAATTGCCTGAGGAAGGTTTAGGGTCCATTTTTGTTCTTAGCCAGGAACAGGGGAGTAGAGAGAAGTTTGGCTCAACCTTCGAGTGATAAGAGCATTGGTAAAGGTAAGAGGGACTGAGGGCACGAGGGCACGCTCAGGCAGTAATCCTTGCTCCTTAGCTATATGTGTATGTAATAGAAAGTCTCTTACAGAACCGTCAGCCAGCTGTGTTCTGCACTGTCAGCATGGAGCCCAAACTGTATTAAAGCTTCAGAGTACATCTGTTTTGGTGGGAAGGGTTGGCTGGGAAGTAAGGTTCTGATGAAGCAGAAGACAAAGATACTTATGCTTAGCTAGCTCATGCTTCATCTGATGTGAGCCCACTAAACCCCGCAACATCAGAACTTACTCATCACTCTCAGGCAAGTTACCGAGCCTGCAATAGTCTATAATCTGTAATGTCTTCTTTCCATCCCTGGCCTGTCTTCAGCCCTGTCCACTGCTGCCCTGTCAGCTTGCACCTGAGTGAGCCTTCATTGGTTTCAGTCAGGTTCTTTTGTAGTAAAACCACCTGTCGTGAGTAAGCCTTGCTGATGAACCAAGGGCCCTCATCCAGTGTTCTTCAGCAAACAGCTGATTTGTTCTGTTGGGAGTTATGACTTCACCTGTAGAAGCTGCCTGAGTCTTTGGTTTGGTTTTGTCACTGCTGCGCCAGCCACTAACAGCCGTGTAGCTAGTCCTGGTTACCTCTGCAGATCTTTTTTCCAGTAGGCCCTCTTGTCCCCAAGCACCCAAGGCATAGGACTAATTCAGTGTGCATCTGGCCATGACCTCCAGGGTGCTTCTCCTATAGTCCTTTGACAGTCACGAATTTTAACCAGAGAAATCCCTGGAGATAGGTTTTCTCTTATTTTTGACACCCCAGAGTTGCCTTGATAGACAAGATACACATCTCAAAGGAAACATTGAAGTCAGGCATGCTAGCACCACTGTAATACCAGCACTTTGGAGAAGGCAGGAGTTGAAAGCAGGCTCAGTAGCTCACATAATTCTAGCTACTCGGGAAGTGAAGCAAGAAGATCGCTACAAGTTTAAGCCCAACATGGACTACTTAGTACCCAGCAGCCAGGGATGGCAAGACCCTATGCCAACAAGAAAGGGGCTGGAGAAATGGCTCAGTGGTTATGAGCACTTGCTGCTCTTGCAAAGGACTAGAATTTGGTTCCCACTCCAGACAGGTCACAAGTATCTATAGGTGACTTGATACCCTTCTGACCTCTGTGGACACCCATACACATGTACCACAGATACATATACACACAAAAAATCAAGTTCTGAAAATAATTCATGTCAAATGCTTCCAAAAGACTAGTGAGGTTAGGTGTTAAGAAAAGTTCACTGGCTTTGCCTTCAAAACCCACATTTTTCACCATAATGTGCAGGAAACTAAATTTTGTCACCCCATAAGCCATTTGTGACTTCCAGATGGCCCTAAAGTCTTACATTTCTATCTTGGGCTGAGAGGCATGGGGGCCTCCTGCTTCTGTAACTCTTTGTATCTGCTCCAGCTAAGCTATCCCTGTCAGGTTTTATCTGTCTTGCTGTATACTTAAATGCCACTGTCTTCCTCCAAGTTTTTTCTTTATATCTGCTTTCCACCTTGTCCTGTGTTTTGGTGGAAGCCAGCAAACATGTTAAGGGGCTGACTCTTCACAGTGCAGGAAATTGAACTCAGGTGTCATGTAGACGAAGTAAGTACTCCTGCCACTTAGCCATTTTTATTTTGAAGAGACAAGGTCTCTGTGTTGTCCAGGTTGGCCAGAAAGTCCTGGGCTCAACATGATTCAGAGTGGCTGGCGCTTGGTAGGGTCCTGTCTAGAGGGTCCTCCCAAGTCTTGCCCTGTCTGGGAAAGGTAGGTAGAGATGAGAAAGAAGCTCAAGAGCTTACAACACACAGTCACTTGTACTCTCCAAGACTTTCTCTGAACTATAGATAGTGGAGTTAGAAGTGGGATTTAATGGAAGTCCTTTGGGGGGGGCGGTGTAAAAATCTGAGTCAGTCCCCCTTTTAGGGTAGCATGCCTCTGGCTAGTATACCTCATAGTGACTTGTGGATCCGCAGCTCTAGGCTCTAGTGAATCCTCCCTGAACTTAAGTGCAGACGACCTGAGAACACACATAGACTAGGCTTTTGCTTGGTCTCGCCTTCCCTGAGATTCAAGTCATAGCTACAGATATTCCCAGAGTCCCGACCTAAATGAGAGGAACCTGCTACAAAGGTTTTTTGGTTTTTGCTCAAACTCTATAGAGTCCTCCTGCCTGGACCTCCCAACTATAAGCAGGCACCAACCATGGTCCAGTCAAAAAGTCTGGCACATCTCTGAAAGTGCAACCCAGGCTCTTCCTGTTTTTACAGTGCTAGGATTACAAATAGGTTGCTAGATTTTTAAATTCGTATTGAGCAGGGCAGAACCTTGGCTGTTGGGTAATACTTACAGAAGAGACACCTGTTCTGGCTTCCTTTGAGATTCTACTCCACCTTCACTACCTGTGTCTTGGGACAGACCAAGTTGGGCCTTAGGAATCCCCTGGAGGATGGCGTCCCCTGGTGTTCGCGTCAGGGACTACGAGGCAGGGTGAAAGTAGGGCACCAGGACCTGCAAGAGGCAGCCAAGACCCTCTCCCCTGCACCATTCACCACACCCATGAGTACCCGGAAGGAAAAGTCCCAGAGCGACAGCAGCAGTCAAGACTCAACCATCTTCCCACAACCTCCAACCCAGGCCAACTCAGCCAACGTACCCGGGGCGGGGAGGGGCCGGGCCGGGGGCGGCCTGGCAGGAAGCGGCGCGTACCTTCCGCCGCAGGAGGAGCAGGTGGCTGCAGTGCTGCCTGGGCCCCTGGCTTCCTGTGTACGCTCCTGCCGGCTGCTTTTTCCCGCCAGAGTTCATTGGGCCGTCCCAGCCCTATGGCTCAGACCCCAGACGGCATATCCTGTGAACTGCGAGGTAAGTCCTGCTTGGCCTTTCCTGGGAGCCCATCTGGCCGCGAAGAGCCTGACTCCAAACCAGGGACCTCTCAGCGCCTTACGGAACTTGGCCAGAGGTTTTGTTCAGGAGGGAGGGCCAGTGCCTAAAAATCTGCCTCATATCTTCTTAGTTGATCCATAGATGAATACCTGGGCACTCAGCCTAGCACAGACCTTGGGTACAGAGTGGCCCTAATAGAGGGACCAAAGTCACCCAGTAGATTCTTTCCATAGGCGAGATCACCAGGTTCCTGTGGCCCAAGGAGGCGGAGCTGCTGTTGAAGACCTGGCTTCCCCAGGAGGGTGCTGGGCAGAGTCATATCCTGGTACGGTAAGCCAGGAGTGAAGTTCAGGACAGTGGCCAGACCCAGCACAAAGAAACTTGATTTCCCTAGAATATTAGTCTTTGTCTTCCCAGGCACTGCTTCGATGGAGGGCATATTTGCTGCACACCTGCCTTCCCCTGAGGGTGAGTCCCAGGCCTAGCCAACACTCTGTTCTCCTTCAGCAAGGGACTGCGTTTGCAGGGCTGTCCTTTTTTGCCTGGGCTGGCTTTTGACAGCACTGAGCTTCCAGCAGCGGACAGGAGGGAAGGCTAGGCAAGTCTAGCTCAGAATGCCACAAAATCATGGGCTGGAGAGAGGGGACCTGGGTTCAATTCTCAGCACCACCAAGTGGCTCACAAGTGGTTGGAACTCTAGTTCCAGGGCACCCACCGCCCTCTTCTGGCATCTTTGGGAACCAGGCATATAAGTGATACCCAGACAAACATGCCAGCAAAACACTGAATAGTACATTTTTTAAAATTTAAGAACAAGCTAGGACTTGGTGGCGCACACCTTTAGTCCTAGCACTAGGGAGACAGAGGCAGGTGGATCTCTGAGTTCGAGGCCAACCTGATCTACCAAGTGAATTCCAGGACAGCTGGATTTACACAGAAACCCTGTCTCAGGGAAGAAAGAAAGAAAGAAAGAAAGAGAGAGAGAGAGAGAGAGAGAGAGAGAGAGAGAGAGAGAGAGAGAAAGAAAGAAGAAAATTAAGAGCAAAAAGCTAGACTCCAGAGAGTGGCATCACTTAGTCCAAATGATGTGTGTGCTTTCCAGGTGGACTGCACATTCAGCTACCTGGAGGTCCAGGCTATGGCTCTGCAGGAAACACCTCCTCGGGTAAGAAAGCTGGACCCCAGCTTGAACCTACACTCTCTGCTTGATCCTACATGTAGAATTCTGAACGGAACCTACCTTTCACACAGGGATTCAAAAAGTTTCTCCTTCCCCAGGTCACCTTTGAGCTAGAGTCCTTGCCTAAACTGGTCCTGGAGTTTCCTGGTGTGGCTGCCCTAGAACAGCTGGCTCAGCACGTGGCTGCTGCCATCAAAAAGGTCTTCCCTCGCTCAACCCTTGGGTGAGGCCTAGAAAATCCAAGGGGTGGGGCGGGGCATCAGCGAAAGCTTTTCATCCTTCAAGGGCTAGCAGTCCCTTGCCTCTTCTCCTTATCCGCTGCCTAGGAAGCTATTCCGGAAGCCCACACCCTCGTCGCTGCTGGCTAGACTGGAGAGAAGCCATGCCTTAGAGTCCACAGTACCCAGCAGTCCGTGTGGTGAGGGCCAAGTCAGAGCCACATAAACCTTCCAGTTTGACTCCATAGAACCCTAGTCCCTCGGTATTGGGGGGCTCCCCAAAGTGAACAGGGCCACTTTTATCACTAGTATGGGGCCAATCTTCCTCTGTCTCTGACTTAGTATCTGTCTTTCCCTCCATCACACCCCTGACACCTCCCTAGGTGGCTTCTTGGAGACATATGAAGCTCTGTGCGACTACAATGGCTTCCCATTCCGAGAGGAGATTCAGTGGGTAAGAGTAGGGCCCTTTTGGGGGAGCTCTGGAGACGAGATGTTTGATACCCCTGTGTGTGCTAAGCCCCTCTACCCTTTGTGGCCTCAAGCTAGCTGTGAATATTTTCTTCACATCTAGGATGTGGACACTATTTACAATCGCCAGGGCTGCCGCCATTTCTGTCTTGGAGATTTCAGCCACCTTGGCAGCCGGTATGAGGTCTGCCAGGATTGGGAGGAGAGGACTCCACCACCTATATCCCTAGACTTCAGTCTCTGTAGAGGGGATGCTGGCTGGGCCCTGTATTTGGAAGGCCCTGAGCCCTCCGTTTTCTCTTCCCCAATCTAGAGACCTGGCCTTAAGTGTAGCTGCCTTATCTTATAACCTGTGGTTCCGGCGCCTCTCCTGCATGGACCTTAAGCTGGTGAGGGTGTACACAACAAAAAGTGCCAAGGGTGTAAGGGTCAAAGTTCAGTCTGATGAATCATGACCCTCTGCCCTCAGAGCCTGGAGGTCTCGGAACAAATTCTGCACATGACTAGTCAATCTTCCTATTTGGAGGAGCTGGTACTGGAGACCTGCGGTCTGAGAGGGTGAGAAGCCTGAGCTGGGCTTGGGAGATCGTGGTCTGTGGAGAGACTGGGAATCGGTCTTACACTGGGGTCTTGATCCTCAGAGACTTCGTTAGACGGCTAGCCCAGGCACTGGCGGGACATTTTAATTCTGGCCTTCGGGAGCTCAGCCTGTCTGGGAACTTGCTGGATGACAGAGGTATGGCAGAACCTGGGAGGCCCAAGGCAGAAGAGCCAGGAGAGGTGAGGCTCACAGAGTTGCTCTCTCCACAGGTATGGCTGCACTCAGCAGACACCTAGAGCATTGTCCAGGAGCCTTGAGGAGACTCAACCTAGCACAGACAGGGTTGACACCTCGAGGTGGGTGGGACTGAGGCGGGTTGGGAGGGGGCGGGGTGAAGTGAGTGTGTCTGATACTTAGCTGCTCCTCCCACCCACCTCCAGGAATGAGAGCTCTAGGCAGGGCACTGGCAACGAATGCCACTTTTGACTCTACTCTGACCCACCTGGATCTTTCTGGGAACCCGGGGGCACTGGGAGCCTCACAGGATAGTGGGGTGAGTAGCAGGTTTTTTTGTTTTTTGTTTGTTTGTTTTTCCGACAGGGTTTCTCTGTGTAGCCTTGGCTGTCCTGGAACTGAGAAATCCTCCTGCCTCAGCCTCCCAAGTGCTGGAATTAAAGGCATGCGCCACCACCGCCCCGCGAGTAGCAGTTTTTAAAGTCAGAAACTGGGACCGCCTCGTCAGTGGGATGCCAGATCCTTAGGCAACCCCTGACACCCTCTTTCCCTTCTTAGGGCCTGTATACTTTCCTGAGCCGGCCTAACGTTCTGGCGTATTTGAATCTTGCAGCCACTGATACCTCTCTAGGCACGGTGAGAGTGTGGTCATGGGTGATGTTTGGTAGGGCTTGGCTGCGCCAGAGCAGGGTAGGATGCAGAGCAGAGTGTAGCAGAGAAACCCAGGGCTTCCGGAAGGTTGTCACTAATACCATCTTCCCTCAGCTCTTCACGGCGTTATCTGGTGGCTGCTGCTCCAGCCTCACCCATCTCGAAGCTTCAAGGAATATCTTCTCTCGCACGTAAGGGGCACCCGGCAGGCTTGGAAGGAAGAGGTTTTGGGGGTATCAGCTCCCTGAGCGTAAATCCTTCTGCTCTCCACCCGCACCGCAGGAAGTCCCAAGCGGCACCAGCCGCGCTGCAACGCTTCCTTGGAGGTGCCAGGATGCTGCGGCACCTGGGCCTGGCCGGCTGCAAGCTGCCACCCGAAGCGCTCAGGTCAGTGTTGCTACCCACGGTCTACCATGTTGCTACTCACGTGCAGTCACAACTTTGACCAGTGCCTTGACCTCCACCGTCTCACTCCTCTATCACACCCATAATCTTTCCTAACCCCAATCTGCCTGGCACTTATTCATTTGCACGGAGTCCCGTTTTCCCAGATCTTGTCACATGTGTGTTACCGTCTCCCAGAGCCCTTCTAGATGGTCTCGTGCTCAACACTCAGATCCGTGACCTGCACCTAGATCTCAGCGCATGTGAGGTGGGCACCCAGTCCTGGTTGTGAGCTGAGAGCACGTCCATATTATTGGGAATGGGGCTGGGGGGCGGGGCTTCCCTACTCAGGCTTAATATCCTGAGTGCACCGTACCTCTGCCTCCAGCTGCGCTCTGTGGGTGCCCAGGTGATACAAGACTTAGTTTGTGATGCAGGCGCTTTGAGTTCCTTGGATCTGTCGGATAATGGTGAGGTCATCAGGAAACCCATCCATGCTCCTGTTATTCCTACCGATCCCCAGGGCGGGGACCCTGTCCTGGCAGCAGCGCCTTGTGCATCACTCTGGTTACCCCTAGGTTTTGGCTCTGACATGGTGACTCTCGTGCTTGCCATTGGGAGGAGCCGGTCTCTGAAACATGTGGCCCTTGGAAGGAACTTCAACGTTCGGTGCAAGTGAGGCCCAAGCCTATCCCTGTACCTCTCAGACAGGACTGTATCACCCAGATAGCTCCCTAACAGCAACCCCTTTCCACAGGGAGACTCTGGATGACGTCCTGCACCGGATAGTCCAGCTCATGCAGGATGATGACTGTGTGAGTTCATAGAGCCCTCTTGTAATGCTTTTTTACTTTTGTTCCTGCAAACCCTCTTTGCTGAACCTGACCCCATTTATCCATCAGTGCCTTTCTTTTAACCCCAGCCTTTGCAGTCTCTATCAGTGGCTGAGTCGCGGTTGAAGCAGGGTGCCAGTGTCCTGATCCGGGCTTTGGGCAGCAATCCTAAACTGACAGTCCTGGATATCAGTGGCAATGCCATAGGGGATGCTGGTGCCAAGATGCTAGCCAAGGCTCTACGAGTCAACACCAGGCTACGGTGGGCATGGTCTTTATAAGGGCTGGGACCAACAGGAGAGAGAGAGAGTTATGTATTAGAAGGGTGTATGGGTCTAAGGTATACATGCGGATGAAGCAGATAAATGCCTAAGTCCAGAGAGTTGGGTGAGGTTCTGCCCCAACTGAAGTCTGTTGGGACCCAGGTCTGTGATCTGGGACCGAAACAACACATCTGCTCTGGGCCTGCTGGATGTGGCGCAAGCCCTGGAACAGAACCACAGCCTGAAGTCCATGCCGCTGCCGTTGAATGATGTAACACAGGCGCATCGCAACCGGCCAGAACTGACAGCTCGAGCAGTCCATCAGGTGGGGGTCCCCTCTTCCCTCTGCCCTTTTTATATGTGGTGACTCCACCCCTGGCATTTCTCACCATCTCTTAACTGCAGATCCAAGCCTGTCTCTGGAGGAACAATCGGGCAGACTCTACTTCTGACCTCAAGCCCTGCCTTCAGCCCTTGGGTCTGATCTCAGACCACTCAGAGCAGGTCAGTGTCTCTTACCCTAATCTTGGATACCTGGACATCTGAGTCTGAGAGTCTGAATTTCCTGGGCCAAAGTGCCTGAGTTCGTTGTCCCCAACAATTTCCTTTCCTTGGTCACTGTTCTTTTTTTTTTTTTTTTTTTTTTTAAAGATTTTTTAAATTTATTCTATGTATATGAATACACTGCCACTATCTTTAGACAGACCAGAAGAGGGCATCAGATCCCATTACAGATGGTAGTGAGCCACCATGTGGTTGCTGGGAATTGAACTCAGGAAGAACAGTCAGTGCTCTTAACCACTGAGACATCTCTCCAGCCCAGAGACCGTTCTTGAAATAGCTTCCCATGTAACATTTGGCTGCCTTTAAGTGTGTGAATAGGCTGTCCTTGGCGTAGTTTCCTCACATGACTTCCCATTTAAAGGCTGTCCTCTCTCTCCTGACTGTGTGGCTAGCTCCAGCAGTTCTATCTCTGGCTTCAATTTCCCTAACTAACCTGTCTTTTCATATTGTTACTTCTGCATTCTCAAGCCTCAATTCTCTTGTTTGGTTTTGGTTTCTTGAGACTGGGATTCTCTGTGTAGCCTGGGATGTCTTTGAACTCACAGAGATCTGCCTGCTTCTGCCTCCCAAGTGCTGAGATTAAAGGTGTGCACCACCACCACCTGGTTCCAAGCCTTGATTCTTAGCCAAGCTCTGAAACCCAGTTACCCAGTTACCTTAATGCAGACATCCTGAGAGGTGGGCTTATGCACTGCACACCTTCAAATGATTTTTTAAAATACATTTATTTGTTTGTTTCTTTGTGTGTGTATGTGTGTGTGTGTGTGTGTGTGTACACATGCACATGCACCCAGGTACGTGTGGAAATCAAAGGATAACATACAAGAGCCAGTTCTCTCTTTCCACAGTGCAGGTCCCAGGGACTGACTCCTCATCAGGCCCAGTGACAAGCACAGTTACCCATGAGCCGCCTCCCAGGCTCTCCAGTGATCTTATCATCTTCTAAAACTCCATTCTCTTTCATGGAGCCCAATTTCTTTGGTGCCTGTATCACTAAATGGCGTTCCCAGCCCCCTCCTGGCCATACTGCAGCCTTCAGTCCTCCTTGGTCTGCCTCTGGACCATCTCTCAAACACACTGTTCTTACCACAGACCAGCCATGCTTTGCTTCCTCTGTTTTTTTTTCTTCACACACACACACACACACACACACACACACACACACACACATCTATTCTCTGTATGGATGGTTAAGGTGACAGCTTTGAAATCAGAGTGACCAAAGTGTCTTTCCTTCCTGTTCTAGGCCTGGAAAAAATATCAAGTCCCTAAAACAACCAAAAGGAAAAGACCCTGGTATCCTACCTTGAGCAGATAGGGCTTCCCTCACAGTTTGTCTTCCTGTAGGAAACCCTGGAAGGGAGACAGGCAAGATCGGGGAGAGTAATGAGAGACAATGGTAGGACTAATCCATGACTCTCCCCCCCTCCCCAGGAGGTGAATGAGCTATGCCAGTCAGTACAGGAGCATGTGGAGCTGCTGGGCTGCGAGGCTGGGCCCCAGGGTGAGGTTGCTGTGCACCAGGCTGAGGATGCCATCCAGAATGCCAACTTCTCTCTCAGTGTGAGTACTCCCTCTTCAGCTACGATGATCTTTCTGCTCCCAATCACGTGCCAGCCTGCAACTCCTTTTGTTCCTTGCCCTCCAGATCCTTCCTGTTCTGTATGAGGCTGGGAGCTCTCCAAACCATCACTGGCAGCTGCAACAAAAGCTGGAAGGTCTCTTGGGTCAGGTGGGCGAGATCTGCCGCCAGGACATCCAGGTAAGGTATTAAGGAGTCCTGCCCCAGCTGCACCTCCATATGCAGACTTGACCCTCATTCCACAGGCTTGTCTGTCATATTCCATTAGTCAGTTTACTGAGAATTCACACCTTTAAGCCGAAGGGGCTGGGTTCTAGCCATACTGCTAACCGTCCTATAACCTTCGCCCAGGATTTCACTCAGACCACACTGGATACCACAAGGAGCCTCTGCCCACAGATGTTGCAGAGACCTGGCTGGAGGAAGCAACTAGAGGGAGTGTTGGTGGGTTCCGGGGGCATTCCAGAACTGCTTCCAGAACATCTGCTGCAAGATGCCTTCACTAGGCTGAGGTAAGCAAGCACGACTGGGCTGGGCAAAGCTGGACAGAGATAGCACACTCATCCTCACTGTCTCCTGCCTTCAGGGATATGCGCCTGTCAATCACAGGGACCCTAGCAGAGAGCATTGTGGCTCAGGCTCTTGCAGGTCTTCATGCAGCTCGAGATCGACTGGTATGGGGAAGCTTTGCACACATTTCTTAGAGTAACTTGTTTAGGGCTCATGGGGGAACTCTGTAATGACTCCTGGGGTGGTCAGAAGGCAGCTACTTTAAGGTTATCTTAGATCTGCCTCTCTTTGGGTGGCCTGGTATTGCAGGTGGAGAGCCTAGCTCAGCAGGCACCAGTGACAGTGGCCCCTGCTGTACCACCAGTGGGTGGAGATGACCTCAGCCCCCTCGAGCCTGGGGGATTGGAAGAGCTTTTCTTTCCCACTGAGGAGGAAGAGGAGAAAGAAAAAGTACGTATCTCCAGAATTCCAAGCCTAGAACCCCCAGCTCTTTTCTTCTTGCTCTGGGATGTGGAAGGTGAGTAGTTCTGGGTCATATCCCACCCAAACCCTAGACTGAAGCTGTACCCATCCCATCAGGATGATGGTTCTTCATGGAAATGGCTTGAGCCCGGTAATTGTTTTCATCTGGTCCCCTCCCTTCATGGTAAGTCAGGCCCTGGAGGGAAGAGAGTTTATCCAAGTGGACTGAAGCTCTGTTAAATCTGGCCGCTTAGACACTCATTCAGTCCTGTCCCGGGTGTACCCTAGCCCTTCCCTGAGCCAAGCCAGGAAGAAAGCCAGAGTCAGCTGTTCTCAGAACCCTGTGGGACCAGAACAGAATAAGACTAAGATACCTCCTTCCCTACCTCCTCCGCCCCTTTCCCTAACCCCAGGACGCGCATGCTTGGCGGCTGCACAGAGTCGCGCGCACTCGGGGCCGCGCTCAGCACCACGGACAGCGGCGACTGGGGGAGGGGCGGGCGGCGTAGCCGGGCCCCTCCCCGCGCCCTGGGCGGGTCCCCGCCGCCCGCCCTAGCGCCTCCGCCACCTCCCCGGGTTCGACGCTCTGTGCTCTTCTGGTGCTTTTGCCTCAGGTGCTGCTGAGGAAGCAGAACGGGACCCCGAGCTGGCAGCTCCGGGGGAAGATGCGGAGCCGCAGGCTGGGCCGTCTGCACGCGGCTCTCCAAGCCCCGCCGCCCCGGGGCCACCCGCCGGCCCTCTGCCTCGCATGGACCTGCCACCCGCCGGGCAACCCCTACGCCATCCGACCCGAGCCCGGCCGAGGCCACGTCGCCAGCACCACCACCGCCCGCCGCCGGGGGGCCCCCAGGTAAGTGCTTCCCTTCCCCCTCGCCCCTCTTGAAGATCATGGGTGGACCATTCGCTCTTGCTATAGAAGACAGGAAGATGGGTTGTGGAGGCCCAAGGCCACAGGATCGTGCCCTATCGTCTTTCTGGCCACCCTCAGGCCATAGCCATAACGGGTCATGGTGTGCGGCTTTCCTGTGAGGAGTTCCTAGATGGTGGACTCCCTCCTTGTAGTGGTCTGCTCTAAGGGTGAATGTGCGAGAGCGGTGTCCGCCTTGCCCTCCCTCTCATAAGGTTACTGGAAAACATTGGGCAGCTGGGCCGCGGGACACTCCTGCGTCTGCTGTGTACCAGCGGGTGGATGTATGTGTGGGTTGGGTACTGGCAAGGGTAGTGGGCACTGGCAGAAGGAGAGGAGGAGCTGGCCGGAGGCCCCCTGAGGGTCTGACGCAGCAGCGGCGCCACTGAGCCTGGAGGAGAGAGGCCGGGCGGTGTGGTGTGGAGGTGGAGGGTTAGGGTACTGCAGGGAACTGTTGGGATAGAAGGGGTGGCATATTGGAATGTGTGACCCGTAGGTGTTTGCTTAGTGACAGCCAGGTGGTTCAGGATATAGCATTCTCCAGACTGGGCGGGTGCACTGTGACAGCAGTGAAGAATGAAATCCAGCATGGTACAGACAGTCCCCAGCTCTGGGATGTACTCAAGCCAGGCCACTGGGAAGGAGGGGGGCCTTGGGGGAAGAGTCATGGTTCTCAGTCCTGACTCCTAACCTCCCAATGTCTCTTAGGTGCCCCCAGCCCTGCTTCAAGAAGGGAATGGGCTCACTGCGCGTGTGGATGAGGGTGTGGAGGAATTCTTCTCCAAAAGGCTGATCCAGCAGGATCGCCTGTGAGTGAGGGTCAGTTGGCTGGGGGTGGCAGAGGGTGGGACGTCCCTGAGTTTCTTCACTCACTGATGGTTGTTCCTACAGCTGGGCCCCAGAGGAGGATCCAGCCACTGAGGGTGGTACCACTCCTGTTCCCCGCACACTTCGAAAGAAGCTGGGTACCCTCTTTGCCTTTAAGAAACCTCGTTCAACAAGGGGTCCACGACCTGATTTAGAGACCAGCCCTGGAGCAGCAGCTCGTGCCAGAAAAACCACACTTGGGGATCTGCTTCGACCACCAGCCCGTCCAGGCCGTGGTGAGGAGCCTGGAGGGGCAGAAGGCGGCATCAGCAGCCCTGACCCTGCTCGCAGAAATCGGCCTCGATACACACGGGAAAGCAAGGCCTATTCCATGATACTGCTACCTGCTGAGGAGGAAGCAGCAGTGGGTGCCAGACCTGATAAGGTAAGGCCTGGCGCGGGGGGCTGAGGGCTCTTCGGGAAGAGAGCAGTGGGCTTTCTCTCCACTTAGGCATCTCTGTCCTCAGAGGCGGCCTCTGGAACGGGGAGAGACAGAACTGGCTCCGTCTTTTGAGCAGCGGGTACAAGTGATGCTGCAGAGAATCGGTGTGAGCAGGGGCAGCGGGGGTGCCGAAAACAAGAGGAAGCAAGTGAGTTGGGGGTGGGGGTGAACTGCGGGGGCAGGTGGCATGTGGTAATCTGTGGGTGACATATGTGACCATGAAGGGAGAAGAAACACATGGTGTGAATAGATCTAATTATCAGCTACATGGTCTTACTCCTCAAAAAAGTCATTGGATTTAACTTTCTTCTTGCTTCTTGACCTGGTTCAGGTCACTGATATGTACCTCCTAGGGTATGGGGAACTTCTTTCTCTGAAGGAGAAATTAACAGAAATTTGACCTTGTTACTTATACCTAAAATTCTTCCAGGAACTTCCTCATTATCCAGATTTCTAATCCTACTGCAAGATCTCACGGGACCTGGGTACTGGCCATCTTAGAACTGTTTTCCTTTGGAGCCTCATTTGGCTATTGGTTTATATTCTGTGTCTATGTCTGGTCATGTGCTGGGTTATACAGGTTCCTTTTCAGCCTTCCCTGACTCCCCTCCGTGGTCATCTGGATAACATTACTACAGTCAGTCAGTCTTTATTAGGAACTACACCTCTGTGTACCGTGCATTTAAACAGCTTTTCAGGAAGAACGTATGCAGTGAGACCTGGCCTGAATTTAGAGACATTAAAAGTGTGGGAAGTCCTAGAACTAAGAAATCACATTATCTGCTGGATGTGGCGCTAACCTCAGCACTCAGAAAGCTGGGGCAGGAGGACTGCAAGTAAGACTAGCCTGAGCTATATACAGCGAGACTATCTCAAAAACAAACAAACAACCTCCCTGTCGTGACTATAACATGCACACTTTTGTGTATTAACTATCTGGCATCCCAGACTGTAAGGTCAGAGGGCAGGGACTGGCTTTGCTCTGGCCAGCCTATGGTATGCATTCTGTGGCTGGGTTTTAAGAACATGAATAGAAGACAAGAGTAAGGGCAACAGGACTGCTGTCTGACTGATTTGTTTCCTACAGAGCAAAGAGGGAGAGATCAAGAAGGCAGGCTCTGATGGTAAGTAGGACCCTGGGACACGGAGATGTATTTTGGGGGGCAGGAGGGAAGCAGGCTCTGATGGTAAGTAGGACCCTAGAACAAGAAGATGCATGTTGAGGAACAAGGTGGCCTCAGAGATAATCCCTAAGGTACTTGCTCCTCCGCAGGAGAGGACAGGCTGCTTTCCCTCTACCACTAAGGTCTGACACCTAAGCCTCTAATCCTTCCTTGCAGGTGACATCATGGATAGTTCCACAGAGACCCCTCCCATCTCAATCAAGTCCCGTACCCACTCTGTGTCTGCTGGTGAGTGAGGGCCACTGTATATGTTAAAGGAGGTGCAAGAATGGATAGGAGAGGGATCAGACCGTTGCTCAGAACTGTTCCACAGCCAGGCTTGGGTGTTAGCTGACACTTAACTTCTCTACCCAGATCCCTCATGTAGACCTGGGCCAGGGGGCCAGGGGCCCGAGTCTGCCACTTGGAAGACACTGGGGCAGCAGCTGAATGCAGAGCTCAGAGGCCGTGGCTGGGGCCAACAGGATGGTCCAGGGCCCCCCTCCCCATGTCCCAGCCCAAGTCCCCGAAGAACCAGCCCCGCCCCAGACATCTTGAGTCTCCCAGAGGACCCCTGCTTGGGGCCTAGGAATGAAGGTAGGTAGGCACCCCACTCCTAGGCTGGGAACCTGACCCATCTGGGAATACCGAAGATGGGAGGCAAAGGCTGGGTGTGGGAACATACTCTGATATCTTGGCGTCCTCTAGATGGCCAGCTGAGGCCGAGGCCCCTCTCGGCAGGCCGGCGAGCAGTGTCTGTGCATGAGGACCAGCTCCAGGCCCCTGCGGGTGAGGGAGACACCTCTGTCTGTGCTTGAGTGCAGGAGAAGGGGCAGGGTGGGCTCCTAGACTTCGGTCTTGGTTCTGGTCCTTGGACAGAGCCACCATTGCTGTGAGTGCTGGACAATCAGGAAGCCCACCTCCTGAAGGCTTACCTCAGGGCGGGAGGACACGAGCTGGTAAATCTATGGGAGTAGCATGTACGTGCACTGAAGGTGGACAGAAGGGTTGGGGACAGCCAGTGAGTTTTTCTGTATCCTTTTAGAAAGGCCCCTTCGGCTGCAGCGTTCTCCTGTCCTCAAGCGTAGGCCGAAGCTCGAGGCACCCCCATCCCCAAGCTTAGGTGAGAGCGGGCAAGGGCCAGTTGGAAAGATGGCAAGACTGCTCGGCACAAGCCTAGAGTTTTCTCTCTCCATCTCCCTTCACAGGCTCTGGCCTTGGAACCAAGCCTCTTCTTCCGTACCCCACAGAACCCTCCAGCCCTGAGCGGAGCCCTCCCTCCCCAGCCACAGACCAAAGAGGCGGCGGCCCCAACCCCTGATCCTCTCTTCTCCTGCCGCATGAAATTATTTTATTAAAAAATTTGAATGAAACAGAGTGTGGAATACTGTTTGTCCGTAGGCCCATGTGTACACATCCTCTGATAAGTCTCAGTGACTCCTCATACCTGCGTTAACTCAGCCTCTGACTCCATCACTATGTTCAAGGCCCAAGCTACAAGCTGAGGAGACAGCCTGGAAAGAAATCACACCCAGAAGTCAGGGTTACCTAAGACTGGTGACCAACACAGGGAGGGCCGCCCCAAACACTCACCTGGCAGTTTGGACCTGAGAATGGAGGGAAGCAGAGGGTTTCTCATATTTATACTGGAATTCAGAAGTATCATGATGCCTCTTTGGGGGTTCCTGGAAGGGATGAAGTATCTAGAGAGAGTCTAGTAAGGACCCCGAATACCATCCGAGCCTACCCTTAGTCCTCTCCAAGCTCTGCCCAAGGCCGTCCCCCAGTTTCCCTTCCAGTTACAGTACTCACCCACACAGAGCAGGGCTCATGGGCCCCTGTTCTCGGAAGAAGCTGCCGTTTCTTGGTGGGCCACTGGAGCTCCCTGAACTCCAGCTTATGAGCCTGGGCTCTGGTCTCTTGGGCCTGGCATGAACTAGGGGCATGTTGAAGAGGTGAGAGACTGGGAGTGCAGGTCAAGAGTGGGGAGCTGGGTGTAGAACTGCAGGGTGGGGAATTGGGGGCCTGAGCTCTTGGGGAGGCTGAGCCAACAGCTGGTGGAGGCTGGGGGTTGTCCTTCTGCTCAGGGTCCGATGTGGCCAAAGCTGACAGAAGGCTAATGCTGGCTCCGCTTTCCTCCGGGGGCATGTGACTGAGGGAAGCAGGGGTTTCTGGGGGAAAGGAGACTGGGTGTTAGCACAGACCTCTCAGCTCAGGACAGCTGAGTGCCTGTGAGCATTATACAGGATTTCACAGTCTCTACACAGCCCAGTAATCTGACCCAGAGTTCTGAGTACTTATGGCCTGAACCAGAGGAAGTGGGTGAGGGACAAAGATGGGTCCCTGGAGTTCTGGAGAGAATCATCAAAGCTGTGGTGGGCTCTTGGCTCCAAACATTCCCCCCACCCCCTTTTTTCCCATCCAGTTCTTACCCTGTGAATCCTGACTTGAGCCTTTAGAACTCAGAATCTGTTCCTCATCCTCAGGGATGTGCAGCAACAAGCTAGACACAGTGTACACAGCTTCTCCCTGCCAGACAGGAGAGCTCAGCATGGCAGTTGCCTAACCCTCCCTCTGAAACCTCCAAAGAAAAGCCCAGCACTGACCGTGGCCTGGGAGCGAGAGGTGGTCCAGTGGGTGAGGGGGGTTGCTATGCAAGGACCTTTTAGCATTAGGCAACTCTCAGCTAGACACACTAGGGCTCCCCAGTGATCCTGGTCCTCCTTCACCTCATCCAGAAGCTGAGTCAGGGTTAGGCCTGGGGGCAGCATTTTGGCCAAAGGATTGAAGTTGCAACAAGAAGGAAGGGTAAGTAAGCTATTACAATGACTTACTGAAGAAACAGATGCAGAGATAACCACAGCGAGTCAGGTAGGGTTACTGGGGGAAACCCCTACCAGTACCTGCACTGGACGAAGCAGACTCTGAAAGGTGGTCCCTAGAGAAACAGTAAATACTCAGGGAGAGTCCTGATGCCAATCTACCCAGCTCTGCCACCCCTGACCACACCACACACAGCCTCAGGGCCCAACCCCAAACTCACTCAAGGCATTCATTGAGCTTTTTCTGCACATCTGAATCCTGATTGCTGGGAGAGAGCAGGGTGGTGGGTGGTCAGTATGATTGACACCCATCCCTCTCACCTAAAGACCAATGCCAAGGCACGTGAAGAGGCAGGGGATGTAAGCTTCATTTAACTGTTTTGTTTTGGAGGGGAGGAATATGGAGAGACTTAGACTAAAGCCCTCAGGACTTCAGCCATGTGAAGCCTGTAGTCTGCCACTGAGATACATCCCCTTCCCTTGGTGGGATCACTTACCAACCAATCACCTGTACCCGGGGCTCCTCCGTGGGCAGCAGGTTAAAGCGATCCACCTGGAGGTAGAACTCCGCAGGCTGGAGGAGTTGGGGAGTGGTGTCTTAGGAGTTGTGACAAAGAGCTAGGTACAGTAACCAACCCGCCCAAGTGAGCCTTACCACTCACCGCATGGTCCTGAGGCACCTGAATGCGGAGCCCGCAGGCCTGCAGCAGCAGGAGGCGACCCTCCGTCCCGCGGAATCCGAACTCCTTCTCCTCCCTGTGGCGAGCAAAGCCCTCACTGCCCAGAGCACAGGCACAAACCCCATATGCCTGGGGAACGAGCCTCCCCAACTCTCCAGCACCCGCCCACTTCAGGTTCGAGATCGCACTACCCTGCAGACAAGTAGCACCTCTCTTACCAGTCGGAGGTGTCGATGGCATTGCGCGTCACCACGCATCGGACACTGTGAGTTCCGTCTGACACAAGCAACACGGCCCCGGTGTGAGGTGTGTCAGGGGCGGAAGATGGGCCCGGAGTCTCCGAGTCCTGGAGTACCTAACACAACAGTAGTGGCTAGTGTCAATTCACTCCCTCGGTCTCCACCCGGGTCTCTGGGATCTGAGTGGCCTGCTCACCTTGAGCAGCTGCCCGGCTCGTGGACTTGACAGTGTTTCCGAGCCCAGGATCAGCTCTCGAATCCAGGGCTGCAGGACCAGCCTTCCTGAATTCGACATTAGCACGGCGGCACCCTAGGAGACCCCCATGAAGAAGTTTCCCGCGAACACCGCAGCTCTGTCTCTGGTGGGAGAGGAAGCACGTGACCGCTGGGTGGATCCTAAGATTGAGACCCCGCCCATTCGCGGCTCTGCGCCTGTGCAAGCACTTCCTTGGTCTTGCTGGCTAACCTAGCTGCTGGTTGATGACAATTTATTCCCCGGGGCATCGCTCTGAGCCTGTGAGCTGTTCCTCAGTACTACTCTAGAACCGGAAAGGAAAAGGCAAGGACTAGCCTGGATGAGAGCGATCCAGGTTAGGAGGGCTGCAGCCGAGAATGGGACTTGATGCCACTTCAGCTCTATGTGAGACCTCCAGAGTTTTCCTAAAATGTTGATTTAGTTTCCTCTACAAAATACGCTGTCCTGTAAGGCCAATAGAAATGACACCACAGACAACTTGAATAAATGTTCGTTCCCTCATTCTGTCCCCGGATTGGTCAAGTCCTCTTTGGGACGCTCGAACCACAGCGTAATGACGTAAGACCAGAGGAAGCCCTCGCTATCTCCGTCTCCGTTTCCTAGGAAACGTAGACTCCGCGTTTCTCGGTGTCGCGTCCCCCTTGACGTCATGGTTTGGGTGGGAGGGCGGGGCGAGTGCTACCGCCAGGGGCGGGGCGGCTCGGGCCAGCGGGCCGGGCTGTGCACCTGCGCCTCGGCGGGCTGCCGTGGGGCACCGTCCCCCGCCCGCCAGGCCCCGCAATGGCCAGGCCGCAGAGGACTCCGGCGCGCAGTCCGGATAGCATCGTCGAGGTGAAGAGCAAAGTAAGGGTTTCTCTGGTCTCGGCTTTGGCCACTGCGCTAGGCGCTCCCAATTCCCTTTCTCTCTCTTAGTTGATTCTTGGGTCTCCATCACCTTTTTCTGTCCTCCATCCTCCACGTCCTATTCTGCTTTTCTGTCTGCCTCCTCTCATCGCATCCTCCCTCCCACTACGGACCTCCAGGGTTCCTCTGTGGCCTGGGTATGTAGAGAGCAAGGGAAAGACCTTGGACAGTGTCCCTTGTACTGGAGCTGAGGTTAAGCTTAAGGCTGCAGCTTTTGCAGCAGCCCTTTCCCTCAGCTGACAGCCTTAGTCTTGTAGTGAGAAAGGGGCTTGGGATCTGTCCTGACACTCCTCTTCCCTTCCCTCCCGCCTCCAGTTTGACGCCGAGTTCCGACGCTTTGCACTACCCCGCACTTCGGTGAGAGGCTTTCAGGAGTTCTCGCGGTTGCTGTGTGTGGTACATCAGATCCCTGGCCTGGATGTGCTGCTTGGCTATACGGATGCTCACGGCGACTTGCTGCCCCTTACCAACGATGACAGTTTGCATCGGGCCCTGGCCAGCGGGCCCCCACCTCTGCGTCTCTTGGTCCAGAAACGGGGTGAGGATGGGGTACAGTGGGCAACTTACTTGGGGTAGGGTGACAGGGCAGGTATATTAGGGTAGACCATACCCAGGGCTCCCAGGCTTTACATTCTACAGCCTCTGCCCTTGGTCTGACCTCCAAGTAGCAGGAAAAACAGTTGACATTGTCCCTATCACGGGCCCAAATGGGAGAAGAGTCTCTAATCTTAGTACTCCCCTCTCCTGCAGCAGAAGGTGACTCCAGCGGCTTGGCTTTTGCCTCCAACTCTCTACAGAGGCGCAAGAAAGGGCTCCTGCTACGACCAGTGGCACCTCTGCGCACCAGGCCACCCTTGTTAATCAGCCTGCCCCGAGATTTCCGCCAGGTCTCTTCAGTTATAGATGTGGACCTACTCCCTGAGACCCATCGGCGTGTGAGGCTGCACAAACATGGTTCAGACCGTCCCCTGGGCTTCTACATTCGAGATGGCATGAGTGTTCGAGTGGCTCCCCAGGGCCTGGAGCGGGTTCCGGGTATCTTCATCTCCCGCCTGGTACGTGGGGGGCTGGCTGAGAGTACAGGGCTGCTGGCGGTCAGCGATGAGATCCTCGAGGTCAATGGCATCGAGGTGGCTGGGAAGACCTTGGACCAAGTGACAGACATGATGGTTGCCAACAGCCATAACCTCATCGTCACTGTCAAGCCTGCCAACCAGCGTAACAATGTGGTACGAGGGGTGTCTGGGCGTATGACAGGGCCTTCCCCTGCAGGACCTGGGCCTGCTGATCCTGAGAGTGACGACGACAGCAGTGACCTGGTCATTGAGAATCGCCACCCTCCCTGTTCTAACGGGCTGTCCCAGGGGCCCCTGTGCTGGGACCTGCAACCTGGCTGCCTACTTCCTGGTGCTGGCAGCTCTCTGCCCTCCTTGGATAGCAGAGAGCAAGCCAATTCTGGCTGGGGGAATGGCATGCCAGGTGACGTGAGTGGATTCAGCCTCTGACAGGCAAAGATGCAGCCCTTGTCACTTTAGGCTGCTGGAACATGGCCTGGACTTTCCAGTTGGGGAGGGGAAGATTAGCTTGCTCACAGAGCCCTCTCAGCCTGGTGAACATTAAAGGTTTTCTACAAATGTAAATATGGTCCTTCTGTGTCCCAGCCTCAAACTCTTCTGATCCTGTAAGTCAGCCTTCTTCCCTGGACACAAGACAGGAAGGCACGGAAGAAACCTTCCTGTGAATGCAGGAGGCCCACTGAGCTTGGCGTTTCTAAGACATCTCCTATGGAACACAGCCACTGTGTACAAAAGGTTTAATTTTGACAGAGAAGTTGGGGGGCTGGAAGCCCCTCTGCAGCCACTGATAACTAGGAAGTGCTTTACACCCTGCCCGCCCCAATGCTCCTGTCTTTGGAGCTATGGCAGGGCTTGAGTCTGCCCTTTGCAGCCACGTGCTGAGCCGAAACATGGATCTCCCTGTTAATCTGCCCACAAAGGGGGTTAGGGCTAGGAATCCATCTTCACAAAGACTTTGGGTCGGGAAAAGATCTTGATAGCCTCTTCTATTTGCACCAACTTCCGGTCCAGTTCAGCACGGTGGCCCTGGGCTCTCAGAGAGTCTGCCCCAGCAGGTAGCAGGACTAGCTCACGCAGCAGCTGGCTCTGGCCTACAAGGGGGCATGGGAACAGTGGCTGTTGGGTAGGGATGCATGGTTCTCCCATGGGCTCCCTTTCAGCTGCCCCTGCCCAGTACTCACTCTGAAGCAGATTGTTCAGTGTCTCCAGCCGCTGATTCTCGGGCATGAGTGTGTGGCCAGGGGGCATGGAAGGGTCGGGCTGGCTGCGCTGGCGAGCTTCTGCTTCCTTCCGCCACAGGTCCCTGCGTTCCAACAAGCTGTGAATGCACAGGCCCAGGGTTGATGACACCAAGGCAGACTGGTTCTTACCGCACTCATCAGCCCACAGGACCTACTTACTAATGGGGCACATGGCCTTTCTGAGTGGCGTTGTAGTGTTCCTGGGCTTGCCGCTGCTGTTCTAGAACCTGTGTAAGGACCTGCAGGGAGCGGGAATGGCGCCGGGGGGCTCTCTTGGCAGCTCGGGCATTGTGACTAATGAAATCCACACCTAGGCCTGGTCCCTGCAGAGACATGGCAAGCATGGTGGTGCACCTGTTACCTACTCTACGCCCAGGACTCATGGCACATGGCCTTCAAGTCCCCACAGACCCTCTCACCTTAGCTTTGGGACCTGGCAGGGTGAGCTGAGGACTGGAGGCACGGGATGGTGGGAGCCCAGGGCCACAGCGGGAGTGTGCCCGCAGAAAGTGGGCAGGTTCTGTCACAGAGGCCGGGCCAAGCTCCTGGAAGGCAGGGTACGGCAGAAGGATCAGGGAGGTTGAAGTCAGGGTGATCTTAACCCACAAGACCGTCCCCTTTCTGTCCCCCCTTCCTCTGAGAACTTTTCTATGCTCATCCCTGTGGGCCTCCTCCTTGAAGGAACTTCTCAATAACATTTAAATATGAATGTCTCTCACAGCCTTAAAAAAACCTATCTCCCTTCGGCCTCACTTTTCTCCTTCTAGCTCTAGCACCTCAACATTACTAAGGGCTGCCTCCACGCCCCCAAGACCAAGGGCTGCTTCCTAAGACCCACTGTCCTTAATTGGATTGTCAATAACATTCTGGGCTCACCAGTGAGACCCAGAGCTGTGTATCCATCTGCTTCCTGGACACGGTCCTACCCCCTGGCAGTGCCACAGATGGTTCAGCCTAAATACAGTCTCATGTGACCTTGTCTTTTCTCTCAATCCTGAGTCTCTTTCAGGGTCCCTGGATAGAGAAACAGTTACTACCTCCAAAGCCTACCTGCTGCCCGCCTTTGTACTCAGGAAAAAGAAATGTTGTAAGAAATAGTGGTGCATGCCTACAGCCCCAGGACTCAGGAGGCTGAGGTAGAAGGAGTAACTAACAGTTTGGGGCCAGGCTAGGTTATGGAGAGAATTCAAGGACAGCCTGAGGCTAAACAGCAAGCTACAGACTCAGAAAGAAATGTGCTGGGAGTGGTGGTCCAAACCCATTATGTCCACACTCAGGAGGCTAAGGCAGGGGAATTTTGCCAGTTCAAGGCCAGCCTGGGCTACATAATGAGTTTGAAGCTAGTCTAGGCTACACCATAAGACCCTGTCAAGAAACAAAGTGTCAGTGGAAGTGGTTGGGCCCAGGTGGGGATGGAGTGGGGTGGGTGGTTCAGCAGTCATGAATACTGGATGCTCTGCCAGAGAATGTGGATTGCATTCCCAGTATCACATGGCCATTCACAGCTCTCTGTACCTCCAGTTCCAGGAGATCCATACCCTCCTCTTCTGGTCTCTGTGGTACACAGACATACACATGCAGGCACCCAGACACATACATTTTTTTTTTTTTTTAATCCCAGCACTTAGGAGGTGGACAAAGGAGAGTTTAAAAAAGTCAAAGAATCTGAGGTCAGCCTGGGCTACATGAAACAGAGACACAGAGAAACTGGGAATGAATTAGTAGGAAGGTCGCGGGGATAATTTAGTGAATACCTAATATGTGTTGTGTCCCAGGATTCAATCCCCAATATCACATGTTGATAAGTAACTTAGGTGGTTGTTTCAGATGTGTGCCCAGCTGCCTTTCTGTTCTAGCCTTCTGCTTTCCCTGTTCAAATCTAATTATACCTACTATGCCCATTGCCCTCATTCCCTCTCATCCCACAACTTCTATCTACCAGCGGGTTTCGTCTCCATGGTATGTTCTCTTCCTCTAGCCTAATCTTTACTTGCCCTGAGCCATCAGCTCCTCAGAGGTCCTTAGTCTTTTGTGATCAACACGAACACACACACACACACACACACACACACACACAAACCCTGTAAATCAGATCAGATATAATTGCCTTGGCCAAGATGGATGATATGTCTGCCTCCCTGGGACAGATACCTTCATCCTGGCCTTGACTCGAGACTCCACATTGTCATACTTGGGTGAGCGCCACAGTGCCTTCAGAGGCTTAGGCTGTCCCTGCTCCCGGCTGCGTTCCTGGTCTTGGAATCGCCTCTGAATCTCTTTGATCCGCCTCAAGTTTTCCTTCTCATGGTCTTTTGGATCCTTCCCTGGAGGGGGGGGGGGCGAGGAATGTTGCTAGGGACAGCCCTACAAATGGCCATGCAACCCAGACGAGATCACATATGGATCCACACTCTACCCTTCGAAGAAAGATCTCTCAGACAATCAGGGAGACGTCTAGCATAGGAGAGGCCCTGGGGTTGATCTCCAACATCATAAACACAATTTTTTTAAAAAAATACAACCCAGACCTTTTCATGGAAGTTAGACACCATACACACAGCACATTATCAACTTAGTCCTTTCCACAGCGGTCCTCCTGGCTATCATCTCCATCATATGATGACGCACACCATCAATCACAGTGTATATTACACACATGTCCTGTCTTGTTCACTGCCTCCAACTGTGGCTCCCATACTTTTTTTCCCCCCAAATTTAATTTTTTAAATTCACATTATATCCCAATTTGAGCCCCTCTCCTTCTCCCAGTCCTGCCTTTGTCAAATCCCTTCCCCCATTACCCGCTTCCCTTCTCAGAGAAGGGGAAGCCTCCCTTGGGTACCACCCCACCCTGGGACGACTCCCATACTTTTAAATCCTGTTTTCCTAACGGCTATAGGGCTTGGCACAAAGTAGGCACTAACAATGGTCCATCAAGGTGTGAAAGCTTTCTCCAGAAGGATGAACTCTGATCCTCCCAGGAGGTATTGTATTTTGCCCTTCTTTTATGCTAGAGAAACTAAGACCCAGAAAAGTACATTAACTGCATGGGCTAAAGACGATTAAGAAGCACCTTATTTTAATCTCTGCTTTTGACCTACAAATACCTCAATACCTCGTCTGCAAGGACTTACTCTTAGGAGAGATCCCTGAACCAAGGGAGATGCCCCCCAGTTGCAGCAGCACGTCCCCCACGCCTCGCTGGCCACGCTCCAGGATCTCTTGGGCTCCAGGCCTGATGCGAGGGCCACGAGGAGGACTGGAGTCCGGGTCGCGACCTGAAGTCAGCAAGTCAAGCTTCAACGCGTTTCCTTCCAGGCGTCCTTGGGCTGAGGAGCAAGACGCGGTGGAAAGCCGTGCTCAGGGGTGGGGCGGGGTACTCGCCCCGCCGCGGCACCCCGCAACTCACCCGAGGCCGGCCGCCGGTAGTAGTCCGGGCAGACAGTAGGGTCTGGGGGGATGGGTCCAGAGATGCGGGACGGGCCCTCGCACATGATCCTACCGCAGCCCTGCAACTGTGCACCAGGGCCTGTTGCGCTGCGCAACTCCCTCCTCTAATCCCTGTCGGGTGCTTCCACCCTCCACCCGAGCCCTGCAGCCCCGCGGTGACCCCATCGCCGATCCCCACCCCTCAACTACCGCCCGTCTCCTAGGCTCAGCCTGTACCACTGCCCCGAGGCTGGCCCACTGCCCTGAGGGGTTCGCGGCCCCTCCCCCGCAAAGCCCCAGAGTAGGCTCTCACTGGAGCAGTTTTACCGCCAACTGTTGCAAGCCGGTAGGAGTTGCTGTTGCTTGGCAACAAATGGCTTCCTGCGGTCAGGGATCAAATGACTAAGGCGAAAAGCCTTCTGGGGTTTGTAGTTGCAGATGAGGAGCGACTCTAAGTCTCGGGTCTTAACAGGATCCTTACCTCTCAACCTGTCTCCCCCACCAACCCTGAGCACCAGTCCAGCCTCGCTCTGGGCCTGCGGTCTTTTCCGAACAACCGTCGAGGGATGCACTGATTCCTCATATAGCCATGGCCTCAGTAGAGGCCAAGAGGCAGCCAGAAGCCCAGAATGGGGCAGCAGTAGGGTTAGCCCAGGTTGCTGAGATCCTAGAGGTGACTTGGGCATTTCAAAGCTCAGGAGGAGGGGTAGGGCAGGAGAAGTGGGACTTTAGGTGACCCAACCCTCTTACTGCCAGGCCAAGCCTCCAAGTAGAGAGGCCTAAGCTGGTACCCTTCCTATTTTGTGGCCAATATGTAGTTATTGGAGAGCGCCCCCGCCCTGAACCAAGGGAGATGCACCCCCAATTGCAGCAGCTTTGGGCTTTGAATGACTA